CTACAGAAACGGATCGAAATGAAAAGTTATGCCTTAAAAAACGAGAACCCACTAAGGACACCAAGATCCTTGTTTAAACCAGATACGTGTGTTTTGTGTCTGATAATGAGTTTGAGTTCCATGAGTCTACGTTTGTTGAGGGAGGAGAAATTAGTGGATATGAGGGCACACCGTAGGTTGCTGAGAGAATGGTTGGGAGAGTTAAAGTGTTCTACTAAAGGAAAAGATTTGTGGTTATTAAATCTGGACCTAAAATCAACACCAGTTTCGCCAAAATAATGACCATCATCACAAATATTGCAGAATAACATATATACAACATTGTGAGCATCACAGTTAAGAGAGGGGAGACGAATAGTGCAGCCAGAATGAAGCATAGAAATAGAGCAATCGGTGGTGTTAAATTTACAAATTTGACATCTAGGCTTGTGGCATTTGATATTACCAGCGGACCTACAGCGTGAAAGTAAGCGAGATGAAGATAGAATAGATTTGAGATTGGGCGGTTGGCGGTTGGCTACTACTGGGGGATCATTGAAAATGGTGTTTATATATAATGGTGTATATATATATATATATATATATATATATTGAAAATGTAGAAATTGTAGAACTGGGTATAATCACTCTACAGACTGTTTCATGGTAATGCAATCTTCAGGAGTGAGAGAATACAAGGATTGTGTGAGTATATAAATGGTAAGGCAGGTGAAAATTGGTATGGGTAGGTATTTGTTGCTGTGCCTGCATTTAGACAATAGCTCGGTTCTTTTGTTTAGTATTAACTGTTTGTCTGAATATATTATGTGAAGTTTTTTGGTTATGCATAGGTTGCAGCGTTTTGTTTTTGGGGAGTTCAGGGGCGGATTTAGGAGGGGGTGAGAGAGAGAAAAAAAATGATAGCTCAGAATGCCTCAAATGCTAGGCCTATGTTCGGGCGTCTAGAACACAAACATTTCCCCGGACCCCCTACGACAATGTTGCCTCAATCGGCCCAACTTTCGCCCCCCACCTTTTGGACATTTCTGGATCCGCCCCTGGAGTAAGCCGATGCTCTGTCGATAATAGACTATTTGATATTGTAGGGTGTGCTGCTGTCTTTTAATTTCCATATGTATTTGGAGAGTACGGTGCTGTTTCTGTATTTGGGGGTGTTAAAAGTGTTTGTGGTTTGTGTATCTGGTTTTGAACGGTGGTGTCAGTTAACCCAATGTAGTATTTTGTGTCATCATTTGAGTGGACAGTGGTTTGTAGATAATGGATGAGGTGAGGCAATTACATTTATTTACTTATCTGTTACGTTTCCATTGATCTTGAATGCTCTGATTATTTTTGTTAAAAAAAAAAAAAAAGACTAAAGAAAAAAATTAATACCCAGTCTGAAACACACGCACAAAAAAAAAAAAAGACAAAAATAAAACTTTAAAATACAGAGTCCCTTAAAAATACTTTCAAAAGATGGTTCAGGGTAGGCACGGTTTAGAAAAGAGCCAAATCCGGCGCCACAATTGCCGCTGGTGTTTTTTTTTTTATTTCTGTTTGCAGCGTTTGTTTTTAGTTTGCAGCATTTATGTTTTCCTTGCAGCGTTTCTTTTTTGTTTGCAACATTTTTTTTTTGTTTGCAGCGTTTCTTTTTTGTTTGCAGCATTTTTTTTGTTTGCAATGTGTCCCTTGTGGGCCATCGTAGCTGCGGGCCGTTTGAGGGTTTAGTTCATGTCCATGGTGCAAAGTTTTTAGGAATAATTATGTAATTGTAACTGTAGGAGATAGGCCTACGATTCTAATATTTACACTTTTAGTCAACGATGCGCAAGATTCTACCACAGAAAGCCCACGGCCATTTGGCTCTGCAGTGGAAGAATAATCATTGTAAACGGATTTACAAATTTGAATAATTTATTTGCAATATGAGTAGAAGAGTAGATTAAATGAGTACGGAAGCAACTTTTTTAATGTGTTCATTTATTATGACATAAGCTTATGTGCACATAGTGCACTTGCATCTTTAGGTGAAAGTTATGTACTAATTTTCAAGTAATAGTTAATTATAATCACACGTATTGAATCGTTGTTATCCATTAAAAAATGCACTGTCTGTAATAATCTAAAAATTTCTTCAAATTATTGTTCTATATATTGACCTTTAAATGTAATGATAATAAACTTAATGTTTATTGTGAATTTTTTGTTGACTAGTTTCATTCTATTCAAAGAGCTCGATCATCAGGTTTAGATTGAAGTTTTATTTGTCAGACAGTGTATTTTTATTAAATTTCAACTTTTCCTTTTTGTGCCAAGTGCCCTTGTATATGTTATTTGTATTGCTTTCAGAGGTACCTCGTTACTAAGGCTTGAGATTGCCTTATGAGGTATGTTGAATAATAAAAAAAATAAATAAAAAAAAATAAAATAAAATAATCACAATCAATAACAACAAGCCAAAAGAAAAGTATTTGTGGATATGTTGGACCGTACTTTACTTTAAAAACATGGGCCTTGCTAACAAACCAGCGGTAGTGAACATATTGAACAAATTGTTATTTAATTGAAATTTGTTAAGTAGGCCTATGTTAAATCATGTCGTATCTGAAATCTAAACGAGAGCTTTTTTAACCTTATGCTTGTAACTACTATCTAAATAAGAAATTAGTTTTCGTTTTGAAAAAAGGTGCTGATGCCTATAACCTATGAAAAGAAAGGGTTGGAAATATTTATATTTAAACCATTTAAAACTGCCAAAAAGCAGGATCAACAAATTTAATGGACCATTGTCCTTTATAAACACTTTATGAGAAATTTTGTCTCTACTTGACCATTTATTCTTACTTTAATAGGTTTATACGTGGCTTGCCATTTTTTGTTTACTGATGTTGGTTTTGGGATGGCAAACCTCATAATATTGTTTCCCACACACAAATATTATTACGCATCCTATATACCACACCCCATCCTGGTCCCACCATGGTCACCTTTAATTTTTCTGTGCCAATAAAAAAAATATATATATATATTTAAACGTATTCTAAGTATGTGTCCCATTCCCATGTCAAGTTTCCTGTATCTTCTGCTTCTTTTGCGTCCATTATCTCAGAATTCTTGATGCTCATAAATGCTTTGACAAAATCTTCTCCAAATGCACTTCTGATGACCTTGTCTTCCAGAAAGGCGTTGATCGCTTCTTGTAAAGTTGTTGGCAATATCAGACTGTTTTCAGGAATATCAGTAAGAGTATATGCACATCCGGTGACGCTAGGAGAAAGTGGAAGCTTTTGCTTGATGCCATCCATTCCAGCGGCTACTGTAGCAGCAAGTGCTAAATATGGATTTGTTCCTGAACATCCCAAACGATTTTCAACGTAAAATCCATTATTAGTTTTTACACGCATTGCCGCGGTGCGGTTGTCAAATCCCCAAGTCGCAAACAATGGAACAGTCTTACGTGGTACAAATCGTTTTCTGCAGTTAATAGTGGGACCCATTATCAAGCTCATTGCCGGTGCGTGATGTAAAAGACCAGCGAGCCAGTGTTTAGCAATATCAGACAATTTGTCGGGTGACTCTGAATCATGTGTTAGTTGAACTTTACCATCAGCATCCCACAAAGAGTGATTGAAATGACACGATGATCCACTTGAATTTGGATAGGGTTTGCTCATGAATGAAGCTATCAAGCTGTGTTGTTTGGCGATCTCTTTCACAGCGTTTTTGAACGTGAATGCATTATCTGCAGCTTTTATTCCAAATGACGGCTTATATGTGATTTCAATTTGTCCAGGTCCATGTTCAGTTTCTAAGCATTCTATATCGACTCCCACTTTTGGTAAATCTCGTCCAAGTTGGTGTAGAAACTCCGCACTTTTGTAAAATCTGAGAGTTGATCTGCAGTTAATATCTCCAACTATCGGTTCCATAGTATCTTTTTTGAAGGCATAAAACTCGTACTCGTGGGCTGAGTATAAGCTGTAACCCATTTCTCCAAGTTCTTCCAGTTGTTTTCTTGCTATAAATCGAGGAGCAGCAGTATATTCCATACCATCTAGTACTGGCTCTACAAGGATTCTTGCCGTATTGTCCCACCATGGAAGTATTTCGAACGTATCCAAATCTGGAATCAGAACTAAATCATTATATTCGGAATCTAGGCTGATTGATGAATGTTTGTGTTTAAACATCGAATCCTCTCCTAAATAACAACTGTTGAATTCAATGCCCGTTTTTGCCTTACTCTTAAAATTGTTAGCATTAATCACTTTCATTCGAGAGTTACCGAACATGTCAGTTACTTCAAAACGTATAAACTCAACTTCTGCATCTCGAATACGCTGCAATACCGTCTCCATTTTATCTGAAAAAAAAACAAACAAAAACAAAAAACAATACAGTAATTAAAATCCAGTAATGCATCTAATAAAATGAATCATACTAATAAATGACATATTTTGAAGTATTATTCTTCATAATCAGGAGATATTGCTTATGCAGGGCTTTTCCTAATTGCAATAATAAGAATTGATGTCGAAATTACCAAAACGAAAATTAAAAGTCTAGCTTAAAATATACTATAAACAAATATTAAATCATACAGAAATTTATGAAGATTAAGTTAAAACACATGAAAACCATCTCGACGTCAGGGAAACTCGAACTATGACTGCTATTAATATTCAAAATATGTAGAATGATGTCATATTTTGATGTGCACATCGTTTATATGGTCTTTACTTAGACAATGTTTGAAGAAGGTTGAAGCACGGGAACGAGAAGTGACCAAAAAATAAGTGCCGGTCAGGAAAAAAAATAGGAAAGTGGGGTGAAAGAAGAAAAATAAATTATACCAAAAACAACGGCTATTTCTAAAAAAACACCAAGGAAACTATTTCTGCATTAGTAAGACTTTAACTATAGCTGCAATGATAAATAGAGCCTCGTAAACATTGTGCGCTATATAAGCCGACCCTGCCTAGGTCAGTACATTTTTAATTCATAGCGATTCAGTGATTGAAAGCGAAAATTGTTCATACATATTTTTTCACCAAAATTTTATAATCTTTTTCATTGGACAATGAAAATTATTCTGTAAAGGTTAATTTGGATGCATTTATAAGTTATAGAGATATTTTAGGTCTGGACCGTTAACATGAAATGACCTCCAACTTCACATCGGTATCTGGATCGCCATCAACATTTAATAATTTTTTTTTGTAACTTCGTTAATTTATTTAAAAATATTCAATCAGATCAGTTTGCCAGTTTTTGGTATATCTGGTCTACGACGTTTCACTTTTAATGGTCGTCATATCCACACCCTACCTCGGATTGTCAGCTATGTTATAATTTCTTCATTGGACCATGGCAAACTATTCTGGAAAGTTCCATTTAGATCCATGGATAAATATTTTGAGATATTCAAGTCTGTGACCTAATTGCCCTCAAATGCACTCCCGAATTTGGATCATCACCAAAACTTAATTAATGTCTTCCTTTGTAATTTTCCCAAAAAGTATGTTAACCAGATGTTTTTGAAATACTTAGTATAGGACGTTTTTCCTTGAATAGTCCTCATACCCACACCCTTCTCCGAACTGGCACCAAAATTTTATGTGCCCTACTATAATTTGGAAACTGGAAAGTTAAACCGCCTCAATTAAGAAACTACCGGCTTTAAAGTTGAGAGACCGAATTTCTAACGTTTCACGTTTGATCAGTATTAATGCAACATGCCGGTTATGCAGCCAAGTTGTTACTATCGATTTAGGCCTACACATTTGCAAAATTAATATCCCAGTAAGACATCGATATTGTGTCAGCGCTTTCACATTGTTTGTCGCTTTTATCAAAGGTAATATAATATTTAAACACAAGTTAGCTTACAAACTTTGTATAAGGTAATACTCACCCTCTGTTTCTGTTTATTTCTGAAATATAAATAGGCCTATAATAAAAATACGAAAATGTAAGTGTATATAACAAACAATGCCACGCCCACAGTACTAACAAGCCAATGGTAACTAGCATTCCAACAAAATATTGACCCATAAAACTCACCACTAGCCTATTAACAATCACTGTCGAATCTCTACAAACGCTATAGTTACAATGCTAGATACAAAGACTTCAATCATTGACAGCTGTTAAATGTCATCTGGTATTAATCAAAATAATGCATTTAATATAAAATTATGATATTAATAAATAACAGATGCTAATATTGTCTAGGTCATAACTATTGCTAGACAATCAAGAAGGTTTAGTACTTCAATCGTTTTTAGATAATAAAATTCACACGTTCTATTATCAATTTCATTTTTGATATTTTAAAATGGTATATAGTATCCATTTCAATATTATAAAAATGGAAAAACTGAATCTAAGATACAGAAATGAAATGAGGATACACACTGCTCAGTATGTAAACTTTGAAAGCTTTTTTCCTTTTAATCATACAGTGTCATGGATTAGAAGCTTAATTTTCAGAGAGAAGAAATTATGTAACAATGAAACTAGCAATATTAAGAAATGCAAATCTTGGAATGGTTTCTCAATACAGTTAGCTAACAAACTTTTGTTTAAATGTTTTCCTGATAATCCTAAGCCTAATGATGACAGTAGTTGTAAGGATGTAACTAAAATTTGGGTACATATACCATAAATTGGTCGTCAAAGAGAAACAATAAAGTATTGACTGTTGGGCTCTTGAAATAAGACAATTCTATACAATGTGATATATTTTACAAGTCACTAAGAAGAGAATTTATACTAAATTTAAACTTACATTTACTTGAAAAAAAATGTATATTATGATAAGCAAAAGATCAGGGGTGGATTTAGTGGGGGGGAGCCTCCTTTTGAGAGGTAAAAAAAAGGGGGAAAGAAGAAAAAAAGAAAGAAAAAAAAAATTATAGCCCAGAACGCCTCAAATGTTATTTTCGGGCGTCTAGAACACAAAAATTTCGCGGACCTCCTAGATCGTTGCCTCGATCGGCCCAAATTTCGGATCCCTTTTGCCCCCCAGAGGCCATTATTTACTTGAATAAAAAAAATGAATGAAAAAAATGAACTTGCAGTAACGTTCGTTCTATGTTATTTGTGTGTTTAAAATGTTGCTTTTATTCTGCTTATGTACCACCAAACTATTCCCGCCTTGTTATTGTTCGCCTAACCTGTTCCCGCCTTATTTTTATCCTAATTACTGTAGTGTAAGGAAAAGTAAGTTTCATGTAACCTTCCAATCATGTTTGCTGTATCTCGCTGTACAGCAAAAATTTTCAACGTAAATTAGCTTTTACTGATTGTTTATGCTAGATAATTAAGCTGTGAAGTTAAGTTGAACATTAGGTACATGCTCGAGAGTATAAACTTTAGATACTGTATTTTTTGTAATGAATATGTAGACATATTTACTAATTGTTTACTCAGAAAGAAAGTGTTGCAAATTTGTTTCCCATAGCCTCTGATCATCAAGACCTCGAAACACTCAAAGTTGCATGAGTTACATACACATAATACACATATACATAATACGTACACATTTACCGCTCGGCTACACTTCACCCTATTCGTATTTGTAATTTGTAATATCACACCACTATAATACAGCAACAACGCTGCCGATCGGCCGAATCGATTATATACACAGATGATATCGCGCAACAGGGCGAGGGTTTGTAATCACAGATTATTTTGTTAATATTTTTAATTCACACGAGCTCTTAGTTCAACGGTCTTTAAAAAATAATAATTAATAAAAACATAAATTATACTCCAAAGTTGTTAAATCAAAATGTAGAGCGTAACAAATTTATACAATATAAAAATATAGAAGTATGTTGACACGAATCCTACGATTGGTGAAAAAAAAACTAAAAAAAACAACAAATAAATAAAAACGATTCTATTAAAACATAGTCTACCATAAATGAGGTCCTTGGATCATTTCGGTCGCTACTTCAATTCTGTCACTCCGTATTTATACAGCAGGTGTGGCGAAATCTGTCCAGGAAACGGGCTTTCTCTGTCCAGAATACGGGCTGTATGAGGGCGCTGTTGTCCAGAATACGGGCTTTCTCTGTCCAGAATACTGGCTGTGAAATCTGTCCAGAATACGGGCTGTGAAATTTGTCCAGATTTTACAGCCCGTATTTTGGACAGATTTCACAGCCCGTATCTGGACAGAGAAAGCCCGTATTCCAGAGCCATATATATAGAGTTGCGACATTCCGCTCCTTGGTTTACGAAAGTCACGTGGTACACACCGTCCATTTTGTTTCATAATCTTCCCGATGAACAAATGCAAAGCATATATGTGTTACGTACATTGCATATTAATTTCACACACTTAATTGGGTTTACAACTATATTATATAATTAACATCACTTAGTATGGATAGCGTATAAGAATTCATATATAATCGAATATTTGCGCGCGTGCGTGCTCGCGTAAATTCCGTGCTCTCGTAAATGATTGAAATTAATATTAAAATAGAGGCGAGACTTTTAATACAATAGAATGTACGTTACATAATTACACAAGTTGAATATATCACAGATCCTGTATATCATTTAACAATTACAATTTATAACATTTACAGCAAAGCACAGTTTATATATTGCGGCCAACTGACATATACTATTTTAATATTTATAAATAATAATAATCAAATTAACAACATAAGATTTGTATAGGGCTCTCACATATTCAAATTTAAAGAGTAACAATCCATATACCCTAGACGGATTTAAATTACATTTTGATAAACGTATTTAATTAATTTTTGCTGGTCGTCACATATCATTTATTTGCAAAAATAATAGGAGCTACTTAAGGATTGCCTAATTAAAGAATGCTTGCCATCGAGGGGCTCTCTCGGTCTATCGGCGAGGATTAAAGAACTGCTTAAAAATAGTAAATTATTACAGTATTATTTTACAGTAATATGAAATTGGATATAAAGTAGTGAAATCATAAAAAAAAAAATCTACAAATAGTTACATGAAATTCGACTGCTAAAAAGATTAAATGAAATTAAACTATACAGGAGGCCGCTAACTGTATTATATGGTGTTCCTCTGTTGAATTTATATTATATGCACAAAAAAAAAAAAAATAAATAAATAAATAAATAAATTATCCTGGGGTGGAAGGTGCTGATGTTCAACATACTGCTTATAATTATTTGCGCATACTTTTATTGTTGTATTGTTGCCGTCCGGTTCGTTGAGACAGTTAAATAATGATGCAAAGCCAAGCATTACTGAACACGAAATGTTATTAAAGAAGCGTGGCTCGCCAAGAGACCGAGTCACCCGGATGTAAGTAACTTTATTGCTTCTCTTTTATAACAGAGGCACAGCCGTAAAGACGTGCAACAATAACAAAATCAGTAAAAACTTAATTACTGTGATAAAATATAGTAAGAAAATACTGCGG